TGAATGCTCAGAAGAGATACATATGAACAGAGAAGCTTTCAAACATAAATTACTACACATTATTTCCTAACAGTCTTAAAACAGCAGTGGTTTTATTACTGCTTTAGTATTGGTGTAAGTATGAATTGCTGTCAAGCTTTTAAAGGATGTAGTATGTGCTGAAGTGCCAGGGCTCCAAGGGGCGAGAAGAATAACTGCTAATGTAAGAGCACTGGGTTTTTAGCATTTACCATGTCAGCAGCAGTACTGTAAAACATGCATAAAATGGTCTTTCTGGTATTTTTAATTGAATCGCTAATAATTCTCATGTATTGCCTTTTACAGGTCAGTTACTATTTCCCACTGAAAACTTTATGGAGATCATTTTTTGCTGCTTTAGTAGCTGCATTTGTTTTAAGGTCCATCAATCCTTTTGGTAACAGCCGCCTAGTTCTTTTTTATGTGGAATATCACACTCCTTGGTACCTTTTTGAACTGCTTCCTTTTATTCTTCTGGGAGTATTTGGTGGGCTCTGGGGAGCTTTTTTCATCCGAGCAAATATTGCATGGTGTCGTCGGCGCAAATCTACAAAATTTGGGAAGTATCCTGTCCTGGAGGTTATTATTGTTGCAGCAATAACAGCTGTCATTGCATTTCCTAATCCATATACAAGGCTAAACACCAGTGAGCTTATTAAAGAGCTCTTCACAGACTGTGGGCCGTTAGAATCCTCCTCCCTGTGTGACTACAGAAATGACATGAACGCGAGCAAAATAGTAGATGATATTCCTGACCGTCCAGCAGGCACTGGAGTCTATTCAGCTATATGGCAGTTGTGTTTAGCACTCATATTTAAAATAATCATGACAGTCTTCACCTTTGGTATCAAGGTAAGTGTGAACGCAGTGGCTGGATCATCTGCTGTGGTTATTTAATTACTGCCTTTCTCATTTTCCATCCTCAAAGTTAGTGGTTTTGTTTATAGAAATCTTAACGTGTATTTGTTTTTAAAAATGTCTTTCTATTGTTGACTAATAAGCAAGTAATGTAGAAAACAGTATTAAACAGTAGATAAGCCTTTTTCTCAGCTGAACAGAAACATGCTAAGTTTAATAGGGAACAGTAATGGGGAGCATGGATGGCTGTTTGTATGGGCCCGATTCAGAAGTAAGGATGATTCTAAAATATCTGAGAGACTAGTTCAAACATAACCACTCAGGTTTCCTAGTCCTGTTACATGGAAGGAGAAAAGACCGTACCTCTTGATCAGCTTGTAGTTTTGGTTTTTTTAATCTTCTCTCCTCATGTATTGTATGGATATCATTACTGCACACTGTCCAGGCAATCCAGTGGAAGTTTCTTTACTCTCCAGCGTTGCATGTCATGACTAGAAAGCAGGGTTTGGTCCTGTGACTGTAATGAGAATTTCTTCTCCATTGCAAAGAAGCATGGGTTTTTTTTTCTGTTCATTTTAGAGCTCTCTTCAGCTTCTCTCCAAGCTGTGGCAGTTTTCTGAATGACATGTAACTGTCATGCCTTCATTTTCTGTCTTGTCCTGCTCTCTTCATAGCTCTTGCAACTGCGTCATTATCAGTCATGTCTTAACACAAATCTATTCTAGAATGTTCATTAAGCAGGATTTGTGTTAAAACTGACTTTATTGAACTTTTCAGTCTACATTGCTGTTCCATGTGACTGCATGCATAAGAAGACACTTGTTTACTGTGAGAGTGGTTGAACACTGGAATAGGCTGTCCAGAGAACTTGTGGAGTCTCCATCCTTGGTGATACACAAAACCTGATTAGCTGCAGTCGTGGGCAGCCTGCTGTAGTTGACCCAGCTTGAGCAGAGATAGACAATTTGGAGTGGTCAGGCCCAACCACAGCCATTCTGTCATTCTGTAACCGATAGAACAGTATCATTGTGTTTCTTATGTGTTGATGTTTTAGAAGATGTTACAGTCTGTTATTTGAAGTTATTTTCCGTGTTAGTCGATGGGTAAGAGAAATCTGGTGTGTCTTTTAAATGCTAGTCTTCCGTAGGCTAGAAATTGATCAGAGGTATCAATAGTTGCAAGTTTTACAAACCTTGCAAGGTCAGTTTAGGTGGTTCTAATCTGACAGCTTGAGCGTTTGTATCTCTTGGAAAAACACCAAGCTTGTAAAATGATACATCAGGTATGTTCCCATAGCATGATAGCACTACTTCTGGTTTTGTTACAGGTTCCATCTGGGTTGTTTATACCTAGCATGGCAATTGGAGCAATAGCAGGAAGGATTGTAGGAATTGCAGTGGAGCAGCTGGCTTACTACCACCATGACTGGTTCATTTTCAAGGAGTGGTGTGAAGTTGGAGCTGACTGTATTACGCCTGGTCTTTATGCCATGGTTGGTGCTGCTGCATGCTTAGGTAAATAAAATGTAACAAATAAGTATCTGATTTCTTGTATGTATGGTGCCAAAATAGTGGTTAAGAAATGAAAGGAGATATAAATGTGTGCAGTTTTGGAATGCCGTTTTGTATGGACTTGTGTCTTCAGAATAATACATTCACATCTCTACACGAGCCTGTCAGATCCTTGTGATCTGAGGAATAAATAACATGTGAAATTTAAATTGATAAGAGAAACATTTAAACAGCAGTGTTTGCTTTCTGTCTTTGGTATCGAGAGGTGTCATTACCACACCAGTCTGAAAAACCAGTTTCGTGAAATGTATGAAGTAGAGGATTTGCAGTCGGGTACTGTTGAAATTACTACAAGGAGGTGCATGATCAGCTGCCGCACCTACACGATGTGCAAAGAAAGTTCTTGCGATTCATAATCCAAACAAAACTGTCAGAGGTTTCTGATGGTTTGGGGAGTCTAGCTTGAGGGGCTTTTAACAAGTCTGATTTACAAACTAACTGTTCATAATCAGCTTCATGGAAAGGAGCTGAAGTTGGGCACCTAAACTAGGACAGGTTTTTTGAAGGCCTTCTCTTGTCCTCACTTATAACTTCATTGCTTTAGAAATTAAGCTTAAAATCTATTAGTACAGATTCTACAAAAGGAAGACCTTTTCTTTAACGTAAAATGCATTTGAGTGATGAAGTAAACCAGTGGTACAGATGCAGTTTTTTGAGAAGTTGTTTTCTTAATAGTTCAACTTTAATCACTTTTGAATACACTTTGAAAGAAAGAACATATTCTTTCCCTAAATTAAGATATGGCATGAGAAACCTTGGCAGAAAAAACATCTTGAGTACTAACAGAAGAGAAATACAATCCCTTCCTTCTCTCATTGTCAAAGGCTTTTCATCAGCTCAGAATTCTCTTTAGGTTTTATGATTCAACAACAGCATTAAGATCCTGATCCTTTGGACAACATAGCTGTTGAATTGCCTGTGACCTGTGACTTCTGTGCATTCATTCCATTCTTTTGCCATATTCTCACCTTACTGGATTTTCTTGAATTTCACAGTATTTTTAACCTAGGTGTGGTGTGGAGAAATACAGTTTTATTCTTAATTTACACAAAATAATTGCACATATTTTTCAAATCCTTTAGTTCTCTCTAGGAATTTTCCCTAAAGCTGTTTATTTAATTCTAACAGCTTTTTGTTCACTTTTCGTGTCGGCTTTTGTTTGTATTATACAGAATGATGCTTGTCAGATCTTTAATGACGAAGTTGCGTTTGTAGTTCTCAGTGGGAAGGCAGGAAATTCTGAATTCAGCATTATTTGATACCGCAATGTTACTGGCTACCATTTAGTATTTTTTTTGTTGCAGGTGGTGTGACAAGGATGACTGTGTCCCTGGTAGTTATTGTCTTTGAGCTAACAGGAGGGCTGGAATATATTGTGCCCCTAATGGCTGCAGTCATGACCAGTAAGTGGGTAGGAGATGCCTTTGGTAGGGAAGGCATATATGAGGCGCACATCCGACTGAATGGATATCCTTTCTTGGATGCAAAGGAAGAATTTACTCACACAACACTGGCTGCTGACGTTATGCGACCTCGGAGAAGCGACCCACCTTTAGCAGTTCTGACGCAGGATAATATGACAGTGGAAGACATAGAAAACTTGATCAACGAAACCAGCTATAATGGTTTTCCTGTTATTATGTCAAAAGAATCGCAGAGACTGGTGGGCTTTGCTCTAAGAAGAGATTTAACTATTGCAATAGGTAATTATCTAATAGTCTTGCATGATTATATATACCAATTTAAATGATTTTATAGCTTAAAACACAATTTACTTTGTATGTTACTAGACTCACTTCAGGTTCAGATACCCTGCAAAATCTGTCTGTTTCTTTATGTAAGTATATGACTACCTTCAATAGCAAGCTTTGAAGTGGAGAAAATACTAATCTCTTTGTCACAAAACCACACCATATTGAAGTAGGCCAAACATCATCTAGTCCAGTATTTTTGTTGGTTTTGAGGCTTTTCACAGAATGAATCACAGTCTGGTTTGCATTGGAAGGGGCCTAGAGACCGTCCAGTTTCAAGCCCCCTGCCATGGGCAGGAAGACCTTCCACAGACCAGGTTGCTCAAAGCCCCATCCAGCCTGGCCTGCTAGTACCTCTTTTCCTCAGGTGGCACTGCACTAACAGTATTCTTTAAAATTGGGTAATTCTCATTTTCAAATAGCAGGATTCTGTGAGAATTAAAAATGTCCCAAGTCATTTTAAAATTTAAACGTATGCTGCACTTCTCTGTGACAGTTGTTACAACTAAAATTGTACTAGGGAGAGATAAGTGGAATATTTATTACTTTAGGTTTTTGCTTTTCAATTTGTTTGTGTAATGGGAAGTTTGCACATGAGCAAACAAGCCCTGTTTGGGCCCTCATTCTCTGGGTGAGTATTAGAACTTGTGTGACCCTTGTGACAGTGCTTTGTGCACCGCTAAGAAAAATGCTGTGGATTTTGAGTACGTTACCATAACCAAAGGAAAAAATCACTCTTATGTAAGGAAATGCTACAAAACTGTAACTTCTGGCACATGAAATCCATGATGGAAATTGCATCTTAAACTACTTTTTTTTTCTTTTATTATTTTTTATTTAATTCATGAAATTGTACATTGACATTTATCTCTTCAACAGACACTTGAGAAACAGAAGTGTCCTAAAACTTTAAAACCACAAAAGTTTTGTGAACACAACACTGTTTAATTCAGTAAAACTTTTGGCTATGGTCTTAATACTGTGTATACCATAGTATTACACTGTGTAGGATGCACAGAAGCATCCAAAACTGAGAAATGATTTAGACATCATACTGGTTTAAGTTTGCATTTATCTAAGAGTTAAAGGAGTAATAGCAGAACATTCTTCTAATAATACACTTTCACAGGTAGGACTCATTTCAGCTGCTCATGCTGAGATCACATGGTGCAAGTTGCTTAGTCTTGGAGTTTGTCTGGCTTCAGAGAGTCTGTGTGTGAAAAATTCTGGGTATGGGGGGGGAGCTGTTGCCACCCAAGTGATGAAGGTGTGAAAAGGCAGAGGCAGTTCAGAAGAATCTAAATAAATTCATTATAAACAAGAAGACAACATTTTCAGAGTGCTCAGAAATGAGTTCTTTGGTTTCAAATCCACAGTAATTTGAGCTGTTGGAATCATGACAGGGGAACTGTCAGCTGAGATTGGCTTTCCCCTTGACAGTTTCTTTAGCAGCTGTGTGCTTCCTGCATGTTATTCTTTAAGTCCTTCAACCTCTTTATAGTAAATAAAAGTTATTTATTGGAGTGAGGAAGGTAGTAGCTGAAGAATGGCTAAAGTTGTATGGTAGATGGCTTTTGTGATTTCTGCGCAAACACCCATTAGGGATATAGCAGTGGCTATGGAAACACATCAAAATAGCGTATATCAGAGTTCTCAGCATCTAGAGAGTAAGATCAGAGTCAGGTAGTGTTGATTGATCTGTCTGTTTGCACTAACTTACCTTACTACAAGAATATAAATTCTTCCTCCTCTGCTGTTTCTCCCCTCCCTCTTTTTCTTAAAGAAAGTGCTAGAAAGAAGCAGGAAGGGATTGTTGGCAGCTCCAGGGTCTGTTTTGCCCAGCATACCCCATCGCTTCCAGCAGAAAGCCCTCGGCCTTTGAAGCTTAGAAGCATACTAGATATGAGCCCTTTCACCGTGACAGACCACACCCCAATGGAAATAGTGGTGGATATTTTCCGGAAGCTGGGTCTGAGGCAGTGCCTTGTAACACACAACGGGTGAGTTAAGTGGCAGCAACGCTGTTCATTGTATTAGATACAGTGATTTTCACTTCCAGGATCAGAGTATTTGAACCAGGATATATTCCAGGATGACAGTACTGGAACCTGTAAGTTTGGTACTGCAACCGAGGGCCCTAACTGTTTGCTAAGAAGGTGCTGTGCTGTGACACAACTCTTAAATTCTTACTTCTCCCTCGTATTCCACCTAAGCAGGCAGATGATCTCGGTTATTTTAAGATGTTCTGTTAAAAACTTGCTCTCATTCAGCAAGTTTTGTGTGTGCAGCTTGCTGTTGCACACACATGTGGACGAGACGCAACCCCTCCACGTGTGTGCACCACACAAGACAATTTAGTTGTGTGGTACACAGTCTGAGGCCTGCAATTCCTCGTTTTTGTCTATGTTCTGTGCAATGTGTCTGCTGTTGAACAGCTACAAATACCTGGGTTTGTAAAAAAAAATAGTGGGAGACAATGGTTCAGTCTTTGTCTCCTCTTCTGGAGTTCAGTGATGGTGATTACCACCAAGCTTTTGGTTTCAGAATACTAACAACTAAGTAACTGCTGATAGTTCTGGAACTTCAATCTGCAGCTTTTGTTTCTACACTTCAAAGCATCTCAAGAAAACTATTCTATGATTCTATTCTAATTTTAAGATTTAGAATGTTTGTAATGATAATATAGGGAGTTGTCATGTGATTACCTACTAAATAAATCAGCCCCAGGCATGGAAACATAAATGTTCATTATAAGTGTCTCTTATCTAAACTACTACTTTTTTTTTTTTTATATGATCTTTTTCTGTGTAGCTGTTCCTTTAACATTCTGCTTCCCTTAACACACACTGCATCTCCTACCACAGTGTCTTGCTTTCTCTTTAGCATGTCTTTGAAGGCACCTGGGGAGTGAAACATAGTCTGCTAATCCACCTTATTTAGGATCAGTGTCTATGGGGAAAAACTCAAGAAAACTGAAAGAGGGATGGGACTTCCTTTACTGTGGGCAAAAGGATTGCTGCTATAAGTGGCAAATACTCAAATACCACATTGGTTTGCAAGTTTATTTTCTCAGGTGTATTTTAAAACAAATTTATTTTAAATGTTCTCCTGCTGCTTTTCTCTTTAATGCATCCCTGTATTGAATGGCAAGTGCATGCTTTCAGAAGCATAGATGACTTTAAATACCCTTCTCACATGGGGAGAGGATGTATGATCTGACAGTCAGTGCAGGCATGCAATTATTCTTGTTTTGGGGAGGGAAACTGAACTGATAGAACTTCAATGAAGAATGTTTACTATGATGATTTTTTTTCTTAGTTTCTGTCATGGTTAAGTGCTCAAACGTTGACATTGATGTTAAAATCAACTCTCTAAAAAGCCTAATTGTGCAAAGCTATGTCAAACTGTACTTCAATTTTTTTAACTGTTTTATGATAAAGCAGCAGCTAGTATGGATGGCTTTAATAATTTGCTGTTTTCAGACATTCATTTTTTGTTGTCCTGCTTCAGTTTGCAACCTTGTGATGTTCCATGAGCCTACTGTCCATTGCAAGATCATATAAGTAAAGCACTAGTGATAGTTGGCCATGGCATACAGCCATGTGGGCAGCAAGTTCTAACCTATGTATTAGCAAATTCCCTGCAAATTGAACATCCCCACGTAAAGACACACATCAGTGTACTGGTTCCAGTCCACACTGGAATAGGAACTGTGCAGAAATTGGTGCTGGTGGCAGAGAATTACATAAAGACTGGGTCTCATTCTTCCTGTATCTGTACCAGAATACACATTCCAGGGAGTTGCTCTTGATTATACTGTCAAGAATTAGAAATTTGTCTGAGTTTGTTTGTAGGCATACCAGGTAACACTGCTCTGTAAAGCAGCTTCAAACCTAAATTGCTATGACTTTACACAGTTATTACTGTGTTCATTTATTGTGGTTTGTTAAAATTGTGAATAATATCTGTATGTGTGAAGAGAAGTAACTACTAAACCAAGGAAATAGAGATTTTTTGTTTAAGGGCCTCTTAAAACCTGAAGAGATGTAAATGTGGGGAGAAGGGAGAAGCCATGTACTTGATATGAGAAACATATTACTCTGGGGTGGTTGAAGATACAGTTGTGTTCAGCATTTTGGGAGGAGTCTGGGAAAGGGGTACTGACTTTCAGATCGTTTTTCATTGAATCATCTCATTAGCTTTCCTGCAACCATTCTTTTTCTTCCTTTTTCATTATAGAACTTTTTTTTAATTTGATTTCACACACAGTTATTAGCATAACATGATCTGTTTCAGGATTGTCTTGGGGATCATCACAAAGAAGAACATATTAGAGCATCTCGAGCAACTAAAGCAGCACGTCGAACCCTTGGTGATTAGATATATCAGATCTCATAATTAGACACATTAGAAGTCAGGAAGCATGAAACTTGTGAACTGTTCAGGGCTTTTATGACATCGGCTGAACAATGAAATCATCTTAGCTAAACCTTTCTACTAAGCCATAAAACAACATGTGCAAAATCCTTTGGTAGAAATTAAGCTGTTAATATGGATGTACTGTTAGTCACAACATTAAAGGAAAGTAAACAACAGCCTTTCTGATACTTTTGTGCTTGAGGGAACACAGTTCCATGCAGTTGATCTGCTGATTTCCCCAGGTGGGAAAGCACACAGCTAGGAATACTTCTTCCCTGACTAATAATGGAAATTAAGATTTTCGTATATGCCAATTTCTTTTTGTGACCTTGACAGCTTTAAATAGCTGTCAGATAGCAAAGTGTCTCGTCTTTTGAGAAGCAAAACCCAGCACGTTTTTAATGTACCGCAGCATTAGATCTTCCCTGTAATCCCCCTTGATCAGTGTGGTATTTTTAAAAGTACTCTTATTTTTAGTGAAATTCTGTGATATTATGTAAAGTCCTGTGATTCTGCTGCTGTTCCCTGCAGCAATTCATGTACTCCTTTATAAAATGTTCACTGATAGCCTAAGCCACCAAGTGGCAGCTACTGTACTGACTGTTGACTTCAATCGATTGATTGATAGATACTGTTTTAACCATGATGTTGTGAACTAACCTTAGCGAGATGGTAGACTTTGTCTTAATTTGGACATGGGTTTCTAGTTACCTCTCTACTAAACATACCCACCAAGTTTAGCTGCTTATGTGCAAAACATGCTAATTATGTTCTCATTTTATGCTAATACTTCACAAGTATTTCATGCGTCCTTTAATATGACAAACTGAAATGTACTAACCACAGTAACGAGGGCAGCAGCTCATTCATTCTGCTCTTTGCTTCTCCTGTGATATTATCCTTTTGGACAGTCTCAACCTTCTTGGTATTTTGCAGAGTTACAATTGTAAAGCCGTGAAGACCCTGTCATAAGAGCACAGTGTCGAAATTGGAAAGTGAAAATTCTATTTTATTATTCTCAATTTGTTTTGTAAAGCAGCGAACTCCAAACCCTGGTTAACGTGTTTGCCTTACAAAACCTCCGTGGCCCATATGGTGTGCTCCTATGAACATGTTCAGCCTGAGCCAGTGCATCAGACTGGCAGGATCATTAAAAATTATAAATGGAGAGAAGGGGAGTTTGATTTGCTCTCAGGATTTGGGGCCATCAAGTGGTATGTTACTTGTGATGGCTAGGTTGGAACATGCCTCCCTTACGAAAACAGGATCAATATCACTTCTTTTTCATGCCTCTTTTTTCTTTGTCCCTCTTTTGTTACTTTTTTGTTGGCATACGCTAATCAAAATTTCATTTTTGTAGACACAAAAAGTTAAATAAAAAATTGCCATGGGCTCTGCTTGTATTCCTTGTATTTCATCAAAACAGACTACAGCTGTCAGAGACCATCCGATACGGTGTCTCAGCATTGCTGTCTTAACAAACGGGTGGTTCCTCAATATTTCAATTAATAAAATGTTCTTGTCTAAATAAGAAAATCAGGCTTTTTACTTTTGCTCTATTCCTGTCAACAAAAAGGACTTGGCTACAGATTTGTTCTGCTTTGTTATTTTTTCCTGCTTGGATTAATGCCGATTTTCCATTTATCCTTTTCAGGCGCCTCCTTGGCATTATAACAAAAAAAGATATCCTCCGTCATATGGCCCAGACGGCAAACCAAGACCCCGCCTCAATAATGTTCAACTGAAACCCATAGCTGAGGAGAGAGAGGAAACGGAAGAGGAGGTTCATTTGTTGAATAGCACAACACTTTAGTCTGGGGGATGCTTCCAAGATCAGAGACGAGAGCTGGGTTTTTGTGTGACAGTGCTGCTGGAAATCAGGAGTTGGTCTGGGGGAATATGTGGCAAGGAGGAGGAAGGCTGATGGGAGCATGGGAAGGGAGAGCTGCTGTCCTGCACTGGATGCGTCCCGAGACGTCAGGTCTGCCATGATAGTGCAGTGGGTGAGCCGTGCGAGGTGGCACAATTCTCCAGCCCCAGCCTGGTACTTCAGCATTGAAGAGATGTGTTCTTAATCCCTGTTTCTGGAGGGATCATTCCGATTCGAGCCATCTTACGGAGACTGAAAGGTCTTGCCCTTTTTCACCATTGAAACTGTTGTGTTAAGTCATGGAACGTATTAATTATTACACGTCACCTTTCTACATTCCAGAAAAGCTTTATTTCTCTCTCTCCTGAGCCGTAACAAAGCCTCTTTAAAATTGGTGTGCCCTTTCGAAGCAGTTTTCTCATATTGAGATGTACTGTGAGTTACTGAGGTTTGATCACAAGAAGGGAGGTTTTTCTTGTGCCATTAATTGTGTAAGTTTGTACATCATGAAATGCTTGGGGCGGTACAGATGCACTGCGACAAAACCAGACTGAACAGGTAATACCTTGTGAGAACTGTGCAAGGCTCCTTTCAACCCATACGCCGTTGGGGTAGGAGAAAAACTAAAACCAGACAAAATGAGTGTTTCAAAGGAAGATACTGGTTTTGCTGCAGAAAATATCAATAATGTGACCTGGTCTTATGCAATTTTTGTATTATTAAAAACACTATGATATATACCAATGGTGTGCAGTATAAGGATAAATACTGCTATTCTACTAGTTAAGAGCTGGAACAATTCTGTATACGTGTATCTGGTAAAACTGCATGCTACAACACTGGAGATCTTTCCCCCCCCTGTAAAATTTGAGAAAGGTCATTTTTATTTTTCTCTTCTCCACAAAAGCTGTTCCACTGCTGACATGGTAGGAAGAAATGTAACTCATAACTTGCACTAAATGTATATTATTTTTCTTGAGGTTTTCCCATTCTTTATTTATATTTGTATGAATTAAAAATTATTAAATATGAATCAGTTAATATCTCACATAACTAATTACCTTTTTAATGTGATTTTATAGAATAATTCATAATCCTCTGCACGGAACGGAGGATTAGCAAATGTTTACAACTAGATGAAGGGTTGAAACAAAATGGTTTCTTTATGATCCAACACACGCAAGATCATTTTCAGATACAACTCTCACTGCCGTTACCTTGAGCTTTCCTTTTCCCTTTAGTAGCAGATAACTGGAACAGGAATAGTAAAAATTTATTTTTTAAAATTGCAGGGTTTAAAAATAATAGCAGGAAAGCAACTGTAAGTATTAGATTGCTTTTGACTTTTTTCTTTTCCAAGTGCATAGAGGTGTAACTGATACATAGCTACAGGAGGTGAGCAGCGGGGCAGAACCGAATCTAGTACTTGAAACTCTGGCAGGACTTTCACCATTCAGCAGCAGCACACATGCTGGCAGGTGCACAGGCAGGTCCCTAACTTTTTCCCCATCACTAGATTGTTTCACAGTCATTGTAACAAGCCACCACAAGCACATGCAGAGGAGAAAAGGCAATATGCTGTCAGCTTCAAGTGCGGGGGCAGGGGGAGAATCAAATCTGGCTGACAAAAATCATGCTTTAGAATACAGGATTAGGTAAAATTTCCTTCTTTAACAACTACACTCCCAAGACTGCAAAAGTTGTAAGCATATAAATGGTAAAAGTCCACAATAACAATCCTAGGTATCTCTAAGGCATTCAGCAGAGTTACCACAAATCTCAAATGTCTTTATTTGCAAAGTACCTGGTAGATTTTAAGCATAGTAAGATCCCGAACTGGCACTCTGGTACTTTTGGCAAATCTAAAACAATGCCTGTGCTTAAGTGCTCTGCTGTTCTACCAATTTTTTTTTTTAGTATAAAACTGCCATCTACAGCCATCATCTCACGCAGCAGCAGGAACCAGTAGGAAGCAAAATGTGCCAGTGGGCTCATGGTTATCAGCCCCGAGTGTTAAGCAAGCCCCTGAAACAGGGCATTGAGCTGTGTTAAGGTGGGACGGTTGCAGAACCAGCTGTATTCCTCCACATGAAGTCAGTGCTTGTAGTTCAGAATGAGTTCTGTTGCATCATCAGCCTAAAGGAACTTTGCAGAGGAAGCTACATAATGAGCAGGATGTGGCCATTCCCAGAGGCAGCTCTGCAAGTTGTCCATGCTGCCGAGTTCTGGTGTCTCTTACTTTCCTTTATACAGTGTAAGAATATAAACACACTACACCTATAAACCCTGTTTTAAACCACTTTGAAGCCTCTGCTGTGCCTGATCTCATAAAACACAGCTGTCCATGATTCTGCAGACCATCTGAAGTGCAGTTCACACCCAGAATTTCAGTATGGATGCCAACTGCTGCATAGAAATTGTGCATCTCTTTTCTTACCTGCTAAGCTTTCCCTGTTGACATGTAAAACATGCAAAACATGCCTAAGAGGTTCTTATAATGAAGTCTGTTTGCCTGTGCTGTGCAACACAAAGTTCTCAACTGTACAGCTTCCAGCGCCTTACTCAAGTTCCCAGTTTGGAAAAACATGAATGTGGTGGATGGGAGGGGAAATGTCAGCATTTTTTAGGTTTTCTTTAAACCGTTCAGTTCCTGGTTCATGAAGAATGCATTCTTTGTTAATCTGTGATGTTGCCTAGGGCCGTATTTAATATTGATCTTAATGTTTTTATTTATAATAGTGTGGTAGAGCTGCATATCATTGCAGTAAAAATTCTGATTACTGTGATGATTTAATCAAACATTAAAAACTTCTGTATGACCATTGATTGTTCTGTCATGTTTTGCTGTTGTTTTCACCACCAGTATTTTTGTTGATTTCTGTATTCCCTGGGAAAAAGTAAACCACTAGAAATTTTATGTAAAAAAAACAGTAAGCAAATGAAAAAAAAAGTTCTTGTTATTTCTCTTGAGTTACAGGGCATTCATATAAAGATCACTCATACTTAGTCTCAAAAGTAAGGAGGAGAAAGACTGAAATTTCAAGGAAGTACCTCCTATTATAAAACATGAAATTCTGGGCCCATGGAAGTGTCCATATACGCTAGTGCTTCTGTCTGAATGAATGGAACACTTCTATGCTGAGTGAAAGGGGTGGGGGTGTCAAGTATACCGATGTGGCATGTGATTGTATGTCATTTAAAACTGCAGCCACTTCTGCAGAACTCAGCCTGCATTGTAAATTGGTTTATGCTGGATGGGACCTTCGGAAGTACAAACCTTTTCTTAGAAAGATAGTGACAGCTCTGAAATACCAGCATGTTGCTACCAGCCTGTGATCCTTGTCAGTCAGTGCTGCTGTCAGCAGCAGTGAGGTGACCTGCTACAGGACAGGTCACTGTACACTGGCAGCCTGCAAGAGAGCAGGCGCTGTTCTCCCGTTTTTTGACTGTTACTTCAAGCAGTTGCTCAAGGATGGAACTCTTATGTGCAGTAGCAGGAAATAAGCAGCAGACCAAGGAGCTTGGGAACAATTAATTTCGATCTCGATTCTGTCCCGATTAGTGAAAACAGGGAGTGGCTTTCTCCCACAAGGCAGCAGCTGCAGTGGATTTCTTAATTTACCTGGTAACATCAGTTGGCTGGTTTTCAATCCCATCTGATTCCTGGTAACCCGCAGCCAGATGCAGGAGCCGATTTAGTGGTTTGTTTTCACGCAGAAGGGAACGGTGCTGTAACCGAAGGTTTACCTGCCCGGTAGGGCAGACTTGAACTGTATGTAGCAAAGAAACCGGGCTGGGTAGATCCAAACGGCCGGTTGCAGCTGTACTGCACCAACGAACCCACCCAATGCATGGAAGGGCCGCCCCCAAGCGCCCCGCCCCGCGTGTCTCTAGGAAATCTAACAGCGGCAAGCCCGATCCGTGCCTCGTAGCGGCCAGCAGCGCAGTAACTCCAGCTGCCCCGGCAGCAGCGAGCGCAGCACAAGCGGCACTCCTTGCAACACCGCTTTTCCGGACGGAGCCTGCCGGACCCGGGGTCAGGGTTGCTGCTGAGCGAGCACCCGGGGCGAGCCCAGCGCTGGCTGGAAGCCGCGAC